GTGGCGGTGGTGAAATTGGACTCTTGAGCAGGTCCGAGTCAGGGGCCACTGTACGGCTATTAGCCCTACGCCGCGATGGCCGCCGTTGAAGTCCCTCGAGTCTTTGCGCGCGGTACTCTGCAGAAAATTCGTCGAGCTGCAGGGACACGCCGCGGGTATCGTCCGAGATGTCTTCGTCAATGCCCGCAATTTCGATGCTGAAGTCTGATGCTTGGAGCTGAAACTGCAACAACCAAGATGGCATTGCGCGGAGGAAATTTTGCTGTTTGGTGGACATGTGTGAATTTGAACGCTTTTCTGGCTCGACGTTTAACCTCAGCTGTCGCACGATCTGTCTGAGACCGTCAGTAATCTCAGGGCGCACCATCTTGATCGAAAAGGTCTGTAAATTGCTCGATGCAACGACATGGACGTCTGGCGTAGCACTGAGTTGCACCTTAAGCTCGAAGGACTCGGTTTGAATCAAGTCGAATCGGTTACTCGATGACGTCTGATAGTACAGTTCGTGCGACTGGATCCTCATGGTTGAAGCGAGCGAGTAGTGCAAGTCCTCCACTGTGGAATGGAACGATTCCATGTCGAGTGATATTGACGAAATGGAAGATATGATGAGGTCAAAATCGTCGGGCGCCGCGTGCTGATCGACTGCGGGCAGGGCGACTCGGAGGACGGGCTCGTGCATGGTAAACTTGATATTAGCCTTGGGCAGGAGTCGTGATATGAGCACATGCCGCGGTTGACGGCTAGATCGTGACCTCTTGGAGGACTTTGGCTTCAGCATAGCGACGAGGAGCGGCAGATGGCGAGGGTCGAGATCCACCGAGGGGGAAGTTACTACGGAATTAGCGAACAGTATGTTTGCGTTTCTTTCCTCGGCTCCCACATCCTGCGCCATCTCAACCGTCTTGGACGGCAGCGTCGTCTTGACAGTCGTAGTCGCCATGGGTATGTAAAGCAGCCTCTCGGGTTTCCCGTCACCGTCGTCGACACCAACGGAGATGGACAGGGCCGCGGCGAGAGCCTCGTGGGCTATGTCCTTGGATGGGAAGTACATCCTGTGTGACGGCGACTTGGGGTCCAAACGGTGCAAGTCTATACCAACTTCCTTCATCGACGCATTCAACAAGACGGGCTTGGCACTGGGTTTGACGGACTCCACCCTCTTGGTCATGCCAACAAAACTGACTGCAAACTGGACCTCCTTCACGCCCCTCAAAATGGAACTGACAAACTCCTTGGAATCGGACACGGTCTGGATTAGATCCTGGTTGGTGCTGCCAGGCTGGGCGACCTCGTGTATGACCTTGTCCATGAAGACGTCGGCTGGCTCGTCGGACAGGGTGGACGAGCGCGCGGCCAACTTGCACTGCTTGAAGCGATCGGCGCACACGCGAACGTCGTCGTAGGGTATATGAACACGGCCCAGCTTGAGGGCAATCGCAGCGTCCCGCAGCCCATCCAGCGCCTCGTACAAGAATCCATGGATATTGAGCGTCGCATTGTCGAGAACCTCGAGGGACTCCTTGCCCTCGGGCGTGAAGAGAACGCTGCGCAGCGTCATGATCCACTCCGCCTGCCGCTGCTTCTGCTTGTTCTTGTCGTTGCGAGCCTGGAAGAAGAAGCGAGCGCGGTCCACCATCTTGCGCCGGGTGTCGACGGCGACCGTCAAGCTCCCAAACTGGACGTCGCCAACGTCGACGACCTTGATAGTCGAGTTTGTGGCAACGACGTCCACCATCCGTAGCCAGTTGAGCTTGCGGTGCGCCCTCTTCATCCGGTCCTTGAGCTTCATCAAGTGTTTCCATGTCTCGCTTCGGGGCGGGGGTGCGCCGTTTCGACGTATTAGTGGCACCTTGGGCTGCTCGGCAGCCGGCACCTCCGGCTCTTCCTCCGCGTCGGTGCTGCTGTCGGAATCGGTTGAGCTATCCTCGCCCTTCTTGCCGTCGAGTTCGCGAATGTCGACCGTGACGGTGAGCTCGCTGATGACGACGCTCAGCCAGGTGGGCTGGGCAAAGGTTGGGCGGTGGACGTTGAGCCCAAGGCCGCGAACCTCAATCTTGAATCCATCTCGTGGGGTGTAGGCGAGTCTCCGCAGGGAAAAGTAGCCGATTCGCTGGATCGATACGCCGGTGAGGATTCGAACGACGGCGAAGAGGATAAAGGAGGACAGGTAGAGAAGGACGACGACGCCGAAGAGGAAGGTCGGATTGAGCAGAGCCATAGTGAGTCGGCAAAACGACTCGCGCGATCGGTAGCTCGCTTCGGTATCTGTATCACCACCACCATGGAGACAACGTCAGCTTCCCAACAACTTCCCGCGCAAATAGGGTGAATGCGAAAGGTGCATGGAAAAGAGGGCCATGCAGTTGAAATGGAGACGCAAAGGACAGGGCGGTCGTACCTGGAAAAGACCCAGATCTCTATGGTATCCCGCACGTTTATCTCCGTTTCCTAGAATCCGAGCGCGCCATGTCGTCGATTAACGATGCTTGGGGTGGTAGATTCGTGGGTGTGGAGAGGTAACACTCGGCTTTATGACAGCAGAGTTTCGGCGCCTACGCGGTTACGATTGTCGACGGAGATGTGCAGTTTAGCTAGCTACTGCGGATGGTCGATCGCGAGTGTTTATACGAGAGACGCGCAGACGGCGGCAGGTGCGGATGACGGCGAGTGAGACTGATGATCGGATCCCTTGGCTGGCCCGGAAGAGAGTATGGAAATGTGGTGGGATCGGAAATGGGGATGTTGGTGGGAGGTTTTGGGGTAAACCTGGCTACGATGTGGTGCAGGGCGGAGATAGAGAGACCAAGAGAGCACGTTTCGTTGGGGGGGCGGGCGGAACTAAAATTAATTGAAAGAGGCTTAGGTTGGAAGCGTAGGATTTTGCCTACAGTAGAGAATAAAGGTATAAAGAGAGAGTAAAACAAAAAGGAGGGCAAAGGTGCGGACCGGAGGTGCTGGTGGAGGATGATGCAGGTCTCGCTCGTCTTGTCTTGCAGAAGAGTGACGCAGTCCAGGTCGTCGCTACGGAGTGCCTAGGTATGAGCCAGGAATTGGCGGAGGAATTGGGACTCGCTAACTTGCAGTTGGGATTTGCGGTTGGCGAAATGCGAGAAGACGTCGTTCGTCTAAGCCCTTGTCGTTTTCTTATTGCTCGGCACGAGGCGGCGGCTGTCCACACGGAACCCTGCTGCCGGTTCTGGATGAAAGAGTAATAGCAGATTGCTCCTATTCCCGAGGTGCTCCAGTTCCCAGTCTCCAGTCTCCAGTCTCCAGTCTTCTTCTCTCCAGGTAATGGGGTACTTCCGACTCCTGGGCACCGGAGCAGCGGTGCAGGCAGTATTCGTACTCGTGTCGTCCGTGGGTGTGTGTGAGGATTGGCCCGGATGATCGGATAGCTCAGATAATGATGAGATGCATTGGGGCTTGTGGGCGATAAACGGCGCGATGGCGTACCTCAGCTAAGGTAGGTAGATGTAGCTAAGCTTGCTGAGGTACCCAGCTTAACCCAGAAACAATACCTATTTGGACAGAGTACGAATAAACACAAATGAATTCCAATAGCAACAATTATTACTGGTAATTAGTGCGATGACCAGAGACAGGCACGATTGGTAAGACTCGGGTCTAGACAGAATGGGGACAAGCACGGCTCGGTCTGAGCTTGGCTTGGAATTGCAAAGGGACGGACGTGGGCGGCGGAATCCAGGAACAGGACTGTTGGGGAATTTAGCGGGTGGAAATGAACAGATCTTTGGTCAGCATTTCATCCACTTTCATTAATAGTCATTGAACCAAGACGGTAGGTCGTCACGTAGTCTCTCTCTACCTACCTTGGGTATTATATGACAGGAAATATGTCACGGTGCATATCGAGGGAAGAGATATGGTGGAGTGGGAATGTGTCCAATTGTCAAACAAACACCTACCTTGCTTAGCTAAGGTACGTAGTCTGGCCCGGAGTTATGGCTCCTTCGCTCCCGAGTCCCCGTCCAATCGATGCAAATCCCACCCTCGGCCACTTCCGGCCTTACCCAATCTTCATTGGCCCCTCCGTCTTCCAATATGGGGACTCCCGCATGCCAGGTATCCACCCTTCTCCTGCCCAGCTGCCTGTCACCGCGTGGTACCAGCCGCCTAGGTGCCAATGCAGCATATCGGAGATCCTCCTCCATCAAGTTCAACAATTACTTGCATCACTAAGACTAACACTTGCATCAACGAGGGGCCGTGCTCAAAGTTCAACCATCAATGCGCCGCTGCATCGGACGGTACCATCGCCTTACGCCTCAAAATATGTGCCTGTGCCTGATTGTCCGCCCCTTGCCCTTGGTACTGTCGGAGCTAAGGGCTGCTCCAAGGATCTAGCACGTGCAGCAAGCGCGCCTCCCCCGATATCCTTCCTCCCTGGACTTACTATTATGATGTAAGCCACCGGACTTACGAAAGGACTACCTTCATTATACCCAGAGACCTGTTCGTAGACCGAGATATTGTCTCGGTGAGGGAGAAAAGCACGGCATGGTGCATAGTGCATGGATACGTGCAAGGACCAGGAGCCTCACCTCAGCTTCCCCTGCCCCAGATCTAGCCAAGCTGCCTCTAGACAAGCTCAGAGCCGAATGGAAGGGACTAGGGCTATGGATTGAAACCGTCCCCAGAATCGTTTACATGCAAAATCTTGAAACACATCTTTTCCTCCCGTTATTCACCCCTCCAGGCTGTCAAGCGAATTCGAACGTTAAAGCATCGGAAGCTATCATGGGACTAAGCTAGCCAACATCGAAGCTACATGACAAGTCAACGGTGGACGAGTCATGCCCGCAGTACTCTAGTTTCAGCCGCATGGCATCGCTATGCGTCATCGTGGCTACTCGCAATAGCTAGCAAAACAATCAGACATCCTACATCGTCTTCAAGTGGATATTACATCTATTAGGTATCTTTATCAAAATACAAAGGCACGACCGGACAATACCCATCCCTCGGAGGATCATGCTTCATCCCAACCTCAACCTTTAACCCATCACACGTGGCAGTATCCCCATGCAACGCAAACCACGACGTCTCGAGCAAAAAGTCCATGAACCGCTTCCTCACGTGCGGCGGCGAAAGATTCTTGCTCTTGTCCTCCCGGAAGAAGACCCTCTTCCACCCGGACGCCTCGCACCACATGATAATGAGACACCACCGCCGCGGTCTACTGGGCTCTGCCCCGGCACCGTTACCATTGCGGCTGCCATTACTGCTGCTGCTGCCACCGCCGCCGTGATTGATGAGATTCACACAGAATGCGTGAACCTCTTTATTCGCGAAAGTCTTGCTCGCGTGCGCTGCCGTCTGCAGGTACTCCTGCGGATCCGCCTCCGCGTCGTCTCCGACCTGCCACGACTCCAGCGCGTCGTTACACGAGAAAAGCTGGAACAGCAATTCTGGCGCCCTTTCGCGCTCGGCGTCGTACACTGGCAGGACCTGTTTCTGAAAGGATCTTGACATCTTGAAACCCGGCAGCTCGGAGAAGCGAGGGAAGTACGAGGCCGAGACAGAAGAACTGCGGCCAGGCTGCTGCTGTCGCTGTTGGCGGCGCGCGGCATACCGGGCGGGCATCGACACATTGGCCAGCGGGATTGGCAGGTTCGCCTGCGGTCTCGACCTATGACGTCCAAACGTCGATGTGAAGGACGTGGTCCACAACGGGATACATATGACCGTGTCGTCGTGGTTCTTGATATCGTGCTTGCAGTTGATGGCAGCATAGACCGTTGTCGAGGAGGCCGTCTTGATGAGCGGCAGCGTCATGCTCAGACCCAGGTTCGTCATTGTAAACTCCTTCCCCACGGACCAGTTGTCGTCCGCGGCGGTCCTGCACTTGACCACCTGCCCGCAACCGGAAAACGCAGAAGGATGCGGCGCCAGTAGGGTGACCCAGAGGTCGCGGCGGGGGTCCATCGTCTTCTCGGTCCAATCCCATGCGAAGAGGCTCTGGTCCGTCGAGACCTTCATGATTTCTTCCTGTAGCCTGCGAAAGGCCTCGTGGCCCTCGCCGTAGAGCAGGGGCATGTGGATCTGGAAGATGCCGAGAAGGCAGTACGCCGTGTCCTCGGTTCGCGTCGTCTGGCGGTTGGACGCCCACGACATCCTCTTGGCGACGCAGGCGGAGGAGAGGGTCTGCGGGTACATGAGGACGTCGACGTCGATGCCCGTAATGGAAGCGATGGGGTATGCCAGCGTCTCCTTGGTCCCGATAGGCTTCCACGTTCCGTCGTAAAACGTCATGTCCGCGGGCGCCAGCAGCTCCTGTAGCGTCCAGCCCCTCGTAAACCACCGGCACTGGCGCAGATCGGCCCTTGCTGCCCCGCCGGACTCGAGGTCCTCCAGATAGACGTAACAGATGGACGCGCCGCGGTACCAGGCGAACATGGAGTTGATGGCCTCGGAGAGCTCGGCGCTGCTCTTCTTGTCGATGCAGTTTGTGTCGACCCAGACGTGGCTGATGCCTTCCTGCCGGGCGATGCGGCATGTGTTTGCAATCTTTTGGAATCCGCGCTTGGAGTTTGTGCGTTTGCGCGAGCCGATCTCGTCTTCTTGCCATAGCAGCCACTCTTGAAAGGTGACCTCGTCGGGGCCCCATGTGTGTGACAGGATGGCGTATTTTGGGAGATCCGAGTCGAAGAAGTCTTCGAGTTGTAGTGTTGAGGTATTGATTAGCCTCATAGCGCACCTTTCATATACATATATCGATTGGGGACAAAGTTCCTGACATCTGGGAATGCCTGTTGCGAAGTAGCGCCGTTGCTGATGTGAGAGGAGTGTTTGAGTCGCGGATGCTCACTCTTGAAGACGTATCCAATAGCGTGAGGCTATGTTGCATGCATGTCTGGCCAATCAACGTCAGCATGATAATGATGCCAGGGGTAATCTTGCCTTGGGTGCGACTCCATCTGACACTCGTCGAGATCTTAATCTGGTGTTACGCGATGAACCAAATCGATGCAGTACGGATATGAGTGCAGTTGGGAAGGGTTGGCTCCTCAATGCAAGCATGGGACAGCTCATTTTGAAAAATAAAATGGATAAGGTCTTGCTTGTTGGTATAATTTAGAGTTGTAATGCTGACAGAGTTATACATGGTGATTAAACAGACGCAATGCTCAACTAACGAGCATCTGGTGGTTGCGGTGCATCCTTCGGGGGCGGCGGAGGAGCTGCTGCTTTTGCCGCGCGAAGCTCTACAATCTTTTCGTCAATGAGAGCGATCTCAGCGTCTATCCTGAGCATCTTTTCATCAATCATATCGCGGTACTCGTCGTCTGAAAGCTTCTTCAGGGGGCTCCAACTTGATTCGAAGATGCTCTTCTTCTTTTCCGTGACCTCGGGTCTGCCTTGAGCCGCGTTCACAAAGGCCTGGCCCGTTCCCCCGATGAGGGAGAAAACGATGACTCCGGGGATGATGTTTTTCGGGCCACCTAATGAGCGCGTTAGAAACTGTCGATATCCCAGCAACAAGGAATGCTCACGAATCAGTCCTCCGACCATTCCTGCCGTGCCTCCCGCAAGTGCACTTGCTTGGATCTTGGATGAGTTGGAGAGCTTCTCTTCGCCACCCCACGCGGCCATCACCACAGATCTCGAGACTATCGTTGAAATTTCAGTACGCCCTCATGAAGGATGTGAGGATTATGGCAACATACGCCAGTAACTTGAACCGAGAGCGAACCATTGGATACCAGATGCTACTGCAAACAGAGCTGGTGTGGAGTCCCGGATAATGCCGGCTGCAATGCCACTGAACACACCGATTGTACCTGTCGGAGATGTGAGTTATGAGGCTGTAAACTGAATAGAGATGAGACAGCCATCAGATGATCAATCTGATGCGATCCTATCTCCAATGTCCTCACTTACCAGTCATGGCACCAACTTTCAGGGGCGGACCCACGAGGTCGACCAACCCTGGTGGCAGCAAACCCCGAGGCTGCCGCTTCGGTCTGGGCTCTTCTGTGCCATACCTCGCCTCATCCGACATGATGAAGGGCTGAAAGATTGGGTTGCAGCAAAAAAGAGATGACAATGAGCTGGCTTACAGTCGATGGGCCCCGATCAGATATGTCGGTTGTTCTGGAAGCTTTGGGCAAGGGTGCAATACATGCATCAAACGGGGGAGTAGTAATCAAGCGAGTTGGCGACGTTGTTCAAATGTTTCGTGCGGCTCAAAACGAGAATGGACCGTGCAGGCCCGATAGATGCAAGAAAGGCGGGGGTGATTGTCAACTGCAGGCGCACATCATTCACCTTTTTTTTCCTCCTTCCCAGGTCGATGATCTCAAGCTTGTACCTTGTATACATACGTACTCTGTACCTAGATTAAGGTGCTAAGGTACCAATGGCAATGAAGGGGCCACCTGTGGCACAGCACAGCACAGCACAGCACAGGGCGTAGTGGGCAGGGGAAATGGATGGGACTGGAGGGATGGAGGGGGGAAACACAGGCGGGAAAAACGCTGAGGCCTCAAGGCTCACCCCGCTGAAGTCACTAGAAGCACTGGGCTCAGAAAGAGCAAAAAACAGCTGTGAGCCCCTCTTTCATAAATGGGATTGTTCAATCACGGGGTTTCCCGGTGGTTCTGGCCCGTGCGTCTTTGGCGGGGCGCTAGGTTGAAAAAGTAAGCTAGACCGCGGCGGGGCTAGTGCCTCCCACTCCTGGCCACCTCGAGAAAATTGTCCAACCCTCACAAACTTTCAATCACCCTCTGCCTCTCTGCTGCGCGGGTAAAACTTCGACCCTTTCCTCCCCCCCCTCCAAAGACCACCAGCCCCAGCAAATCACCGCAAGCTGGGCCGTTTTTCACAAAGTCTACTACGTCTCCGATACCCTCTGACGTATCGTCTAAAAAGACTTCTTCCATCTCCGGTGTCAAGAGATATCCCTTTCCTTAGGCGACATCTCCCTACCCCACGACACTGCGAAATATCCCTCGGACATTTCCAATCCTCTCCGCACCAACCAATACTTCCACCAAACCCGCATCTCCAGCCAACAGCCGCACCGTTTCGGCTCGTCTACATACTCCCCGAATCGCGCATCGAACATACTCGACGCGCGAAGCCGTCTTAACACCGCAATCATGGGTTCGTGCTACCTGGCTCGCCGTCGCAAGCTGCTGCGACGTCTCCCACCTGTACCAAGACTAACCGTGTCATCATAGCGCCCAAGAAGAAGGAACAGGTCAAGATGGCCCTTGGCGACTTCCTGCAGGACTCCAGTCAGTCGCACCCCCTCCGACAACTCCCTACACAAACGCTCCCTCGACAACTACTTCCGCCCACTTCATTTCTTGCTCGACTATCGAATTAGCACATCATCGACTGACACTTTATATATAGGCTACGGCGGATCATGGGCTGATGAGGTCGAGGATACGTACAGTGAGTTCATGATGCCCCAAAAACATCTTATTGAAAGAGGATACTAACACCCTGTAGCCGGTATGCCACATTTCCACAAGCCAGCCTGGCGCCGCACATATCTTGTTCCTTGCCCACTGACACACCTTCACAGGCACTCAAGCTCTCCCCGCTCCCGAGCGCGCTGGCTACCGTCCCAGCCAAGGTGGCTGGGGTAGCGGCGGCGGTGACCGTGGTGACCGCTCCGAGCGCAGTAAGTTCATCTCGAAAATGTGGAAACAAGACGACTCTAATCAGTGTACAGGAGACTACGGTGGTTACTCTTCCATCCGCGAGAATCTTCCCCAGCAGCTCCCCGAGAGACCCCCCTACACTGCCCACCTTGGCAACCTGTCCTACGATGCCACCGAGGAGACCGTCAACGAGTTCTTCGAGGGCTGTGACATCATCAGCGTCCGCATTATTGAGGACCGGGAGCAGCAGCGCCCCAAGGGCTTCGCCTACGCCGAGTTCAAGGATCTTGAGGGACTGAAGCAGGCTTTGACTCTGGATGGCCAGACTTTCCAGGGACGTGCTATCAGAATCAAGGTTGCCGATCCTCGTAAGTACATGTATAGAAGCCATCCTCAAGTTGACTGCTGACACTTTTTACAGCCCGTGGTGGTAACCGTGACGGCGAATCCAACCGCGACTTCAGCGACTGGTCCCGCAAGGGTCCCCTGCCCGACTTGCCTGGACGTGGTGGAAACGATCGTCGCCCCTCTGACTTTGGCGAGCGCCGTGGCCCCCGTGAGCCTCGCGAGCCCCGTGAGGACGACGGCAAGGTCCGCGACTTTGGCAACTGGGAGCGCAGAGGCCCCCTTTCCCCCGTTGCTCCCAAGGAGGGCTCTGGCTCCCGCGATGGCAGCCGTCCCCGTACCAACGATGGACCCCGCGAGTTCCGCGACCGCCGCCAGTCCCCCGCCGCCTGGGGTGAGGGTCAGGGACCCCGCCAGGACTCCCGCCCTCCCCGCCCCGAGAGAGTCCCCACTGCCGCCGAGACCGACAGCCAGTGGAGAACCAAGATGCGCCCCGATGCTGCCCAGTCCCGCGACGGCAGCGAGGCGCCTTCTTCCCCTTCAGCCGCCCCCGCCGCTCCCGTCGGCCGTCCCAAGTTGAACCTGGCGAAGCGCACTGTTTCCGAGGCTCCCGACGTCACGTCTCCCTCCGGAACCGACTCCAAGGCCAGCCCCTTCGGTGCTGCCCGTCCCATCGACACCGCCGCAAAGGAGCGCCTGATTGAGGAGAAGAAGCAGCAACAGGCCAAGGAGAAGCGCGAGGCCGAAGAGAAGGCCAAGGAAGAGCGTCGCCTTGCCAAGGAGGCCGCTGCTAAGGAGGCCGAGGAGAAGGCCGAGCAAGAGGCTGCTGCCAAGGAGAAGGCTGAGAAGGAGGCTGCAGAGGCTCCCAAGGAGGAGGTTGCCCAAGAGACTGCTGCTGACAAGGAGAACGGCACATCTGAGGAGCAGAAGATCCCCGTCAGAGCCAAGGAGGCAAGAGAGCCCAAGGAGGCCCCCAAGTCTCGTGCTTCTGAGGCCAACAGCTGGAGATCATCTGGTGCCTCTCGTGGTGCCCCTACCGGACCCAGAGGTGGACGTGGTGGACCTCGCGGCGGTGGCCGATTCGAGGGAGGCCGCCCTCCTCGTTCCAACGGCCCTGCTGAGAAGCAGGCCCCGGCTGCCGCTGGCAGTGAGTCTGGCGATGCTGCCCCCGTGGAGGACGATGGTTGGACCACGGTCCCCAACAAGGGCCGTCGCAATGTTGGACCCCGTGGCACTGCCTAGGAGGTGGGCGTGCACAGTCCATTCATCCTTCAGCGTCCGGTTGGACCCAGTGCGGTCAAGGCCGCAGTTGAGTCGGCAATTATCGCCGAGAAGATGCTCCCACGTATTTGCTTGCGGGGCCTAGACGATATTTCTCGTCATCACATATACCCAGACGACTCCGAATACGATTCTGACGAACGAATTTACGCCACGAACCGCTTTCTTGGGGCTTGAAGGGCATGGATTCTCTATTTCGATACTTTGCTTTTCGACACGACAATAACTGGCTCACTATGGATCTGCTGAAGGAAACAAAAACTTTCCTTTTTTTACTCAGCACCCTCTGCAGTCTTTGGCTCAGGTGGCTTGCCATCATCCTAGGGCAAGATAGGTCTCCTCGGCTCAACGACTGGAGAAGGCGCGCACTTTCGCACGCATTCATCGGAGTTTGCGAAGTGGTTACTAAAAAAAGGGCTCATGGAAGTTGGAAGAAAAAGGGGGCTCATGACCATGTTGTTTTTTTATTCTCGCTCACTTTTCCTTTGTTTCCTTTTTCCTCTGCTGCATCCCCGAGACCCTTCATTGCCCAAAGGGTTCTTGGGGATCCAGCGAAGTAACAGTCCTACCTACCATACCGATCCGCCAGGATTCAACTCAGCTCTTAGTCACAACCAGGAGCTTCAAAGGAATCCAAACACAAATTCTCAACCAAAGTTCTACTTGCTCTTTTCCTCCTCTTTCTCCCCTCCTTGTTTTGTGTGCAACGATAGATGATTCGCCCTGAGTTATGAAAATCCTCCTCCAGACGGATGGCTTGTTCACGTTTCTTTTATGATTATTCACGCTCGTAAACCCTGTTATTTCGCAAGTCCACTTCCTTTCCTCCTCTTGGTTGTTTTCTCCATCTCAACTCTTCTACCACGCACGACCCCGTTCGATACCAAAAAAATGATGGCGAGCTGGGCTCATTTGTGTTCTTTCTTCTTTTCGCTACCAAGGGTGTGGTGGTTTGAGCTGGAACGTATGACGAGTCTGACGATGGAAATGGTTTTTTAGTGTGAGTGCTGAGAGAAGACCTTGGAGTTCTCCCCTCCCCACCTTGGTGAGGTGTGTGAGGGGGGCAAAATAGATGACAGGCAAGGGAATTGAAATACAAAAGTATACAATATTAGTTTGTGTCTCGAGTCGTGACTGTAGGTGCCAGAGTGGTATGCATGGTTCATGATGTTTGCTGCTGTCATGATGTATGTGTGTTGATGCCTCACTACGAGACGCGTTGAGGCAGAGGGTATATCGTGAGAAATTCACGCCAAACAGGTATGGTTCAGAGAAGTGAGTGACAGGTATTTCATTGCAATCTTTCTTTTTATCCCCAGGTATCCACACGCTACCTCTACCAAACCCAGCTCCAATTCCAAACCATCAACCGCATTCCTGAACCCCCGGCAAACACTCGTTACCTCTTGAGAGTCTTCTGCTTCTCGGCATCTCTAGCAACATTCCTACCCTCAACCAACAACCCCTTCTTCCTCCTCACACCATCCATGTACCTCTTGGCCACATTCTCCTTATCCGCCAACTCGCCCAGATCCTCCAAATCGTCCTCGGTAAACGGCACCCAGAACGGGTCCTGGTCAAGCACCTCGTACCCCGCAAAGATAAGCTGCGGCTGCGCGGCTCCCGACGTCCGTTTCCGCATCTCGTCCGCGAAGCCAAACGATTCGGCCACCGGTAGAACAGAGTTAATAGAGAAGAAGGGTGTGCCTTCCTTCATGGCCTCGGAAAGGACGCGCCCGCGGCGGCGGGTGAGCACGTCGTAGACGCGGCCTAGGACTTCCGTCGAGGCTTGGATTTCGACAGTGTACATTGCCAGCATCAAACGCGGGGACCAGTCGAGCATGCCCAAGCGGAGGGAGGACGTGAAGGTCTTTATGATTTCGCCCGTCAGGCGGGGCATGCGGTCGCGGGCGGAGGAGTCGTCTTCGGTGGGGTTGATGACGACGTCTTCGAGGAAGACGGCGATGCCGCGGACGGGTTCGTGGCAGAGCGGTCCCTGGGCCGTGGCGAGCTGGAAGGCGTAGGGGATCTTGTCGGCTACGTGGGCCGGGTGGAGGGCCTCGTCTGCCTGGGGTGCCGCCGAGCCGTCGCGTTCCGAGGAGGCGGTCTGGGAGAAGAGCTTTGCGAGGAGGCCTTCTTTTGTGGCGTCGATGAGGATGTTGGGGCCGGTGCGGCGGGGGCCAAAGGCGGCGATGCGGTCGAGGGCGGATTTGAAGTGCTCGCGGCCGCCGCGGGAGGATTCGAGGGCGGATTGGAGGCCGGTTTTGAAGTCGTCGAGGGACATTGTCTTTGCGGCTGTCAGGTCTGTGTCGACGTCGATCTTTTCTTCGCCCGGGACGGCGGCGGTGCCGGCACCGTCTTTGCCTTGGGGTTCTTTGGTTGTCTCGCCTTCGGCTGTGGAGGTGCTGTTCGTGGTGGCGGGTGTGCGATCAGAGTACATGCGTTTGATGACGTCGCCGTTCTTGAGGAGGAAGTCCGTCGCGTCGGACGGCAGAGGACGGACGTGGAGGCGGATGGAAACCTGCTTGGAGGAGGTGGTGCCGACGACGACGCCGCGGCCGAGGTCCTTGTTCGCGGGGGGCCGCATCTCCTCGGCGCGGACGATGGTCTCGCGGTAGGGCACGATGGGGGCGCCGGCCTGGATGTCGCAGCGGGCGAAGCGCTCCTTGAGATCCGTGAGGCAGCGCTCGAGGTGCAGCTCGCCGGCGGTGAGGAGGACGTGCTCGCCGCTGCTGAACTGCTCGTACTCTGCGCAGGGATCGGATTGGACGAGGAGGCGGAGGCCGTGGATCATCTTGTCGAGGTCGGCCGGGTTGACGGGCTCGAGGGCGACGCGGACGATGGGTTTGCCCAATGTGCCCGCCACGCCGGCGAGGTTCACGGCGCCGTCGAGGCGACTGCAGAGGGTGCCGTTCTTGAGGAGGTGGCCTTCGAGGCCGCCGATGCCGAAGACGACGCCTGCGGGGACCGAGTCCAGGGACTCGAGATTACGACCCATGAGCATGTAGAGCGCCGTGACGGTGACTTGTTTCGGTGAGGGCTGGGCGTTGGGGTTGGCGGGGGACCATTTGGGCGGGATGACCCAGAGGCTGTCGCCGACGGAGAGGGTGCCCGAGTACATGCGCGCGAAGCCGATGAGGTGCTCGGGGTCGACTTCTTTCTCTTCGTGCTCGGGGGCGTAGCCGTCCAGATTGACCTCCTCGAGCGCCGTAGTGAGGTCGTTGATTGCGCTTCCGCTCGAGGGGGCCGCGGCTTGGGCGCGAGCCGCTTCCGCTCTCTTCTTGCGGGCAAGTTCCCTCGCCTCGTCGGCGGTCAACTGGCCCGGCTTGCGCTTGTTATGGGGAAGTTCGCTTTCGGGGACGGAAACCATTTTGCTGACGTAGGCCACGACAGGATCCGACGGGCCGGTCTTGAAGGAAATCATGGCGTTCTTGATCTCTTCGTTGATGGCATCTGAGCCGGGGACGTCTTCCAGCATCTCGGGCAGTCTCTCGGCTTGCGCGACTGGAGGTGACGGCAGGGACTCGATGACGGAAACCAGCATGGCCGTCGAGAGCGGTAGCCAGGACGCAAACACTGTGGTCAGAAGCAGGCGGGGGTCTCGGGAGCGCATGATGTGTGGCGGGATGGTCAGACCGAGGGACTTTGTAATCTTCTCCAGCAACGCGGGGTCGCCCCTATTGTTGTCGCCGCCGACGGTGGCTTGGTAGACGGTCCAGATAGGCTCCAGCACCAGCTGCACGAACATGGGCTTGAGGTTTCTCCCCTTGAGATGCTTCTGGCCTAGAATCTTCTTGGTCTTGGGGTCAAGGTAAAAGCTGCCCCATAGCACCTTTTCCATGACATCTCTCTTAATGCCGAGCTTCTTCTGATATAAGCCGGCAAATTGGCGCACGGTAAATGCCCAGCCGTCAATGGCACTACTGAAAATAACGTTGTTCTTCTCAGGCGCAAAGTAGAGATCCTCGTCATCGCGCTCCTCAAACTGCAGCTCCCCAGACTCGGTCATAGAATCCGGGCCGGCCTCCTTGGCAGCCGCCGCCTGGACGCGCTCCTCGATCCGCTCGCGCCAATTGAGATCTTCTTCCATACGCTCGCCCTGGAAGAAACTTCCCAGCACGGCGTTGACCTGCTCGAGAATCTTGCTAAGATGAGTGTAGGCCTCGGCAGGCGTCATCTTGAGCTCAGTAATAAGTCGGTCAATCTTGTTGATGACGAGCAAGGGCTTGAGCTTCTCAGTCCAAGTCTGGCGCAGGACAGTCACGGTTTGACTGCACACGCCCTCGACGGCGTCGACGAGCACGACGGCGCCGTCGCACAGGCGCGAGGCGGTGGAGACCTCGCTGCTAAAGTCAATGTGACCGGGCGAGTCGATGAGGTTGATGAGGTACTCTTTGGCTTCGGGCTCGGCGTCGGGTGCGGATCTCCTCAGCATGGAGAAGTAGAGGGAGATGGCGGAGGATTCCATGGTGATGCCTCGGAGCTGCTCATCAGGCCTAGAGTCGAGGTACCGGATCTTGCCGGCGAGTTTGGGTGAGATGATGCCGTTTGTTGCCAGGAGGGCGTCTGTTAAGGATGTTTTGCCATGGTCGACGTGAGCCAGGATGCAGATCTGGTTTGCGGTCAGTTACTGAGAGAGTTTTGTGTTGATGAGATGAGAACTTACATTGCGCACATCTACGGCATGCCTTTGCAGGCTAGCTAGCTTGTCGGGGGTTACAACGGGCATGATGGACGGATATGTGGTGAAGGATGGTAGAAGAGGGGTTCAAGGGGGTATCAAAAGATCTATGGACAGAAAGCAATGCCAGATGAAAGAAGCAGAGTGAATGAGAAAGCAGGTCTGAGGGTCTGTGTGATGCCTCCCTGCTTGGATGGTATATGAAAGCCAGTGCTAAGAAAAGCGTATCGTTGTTTGCCCAAGACAGATGATGTCGTTATTGACTGGAGGGTCCTTTGGC